CTAATATTTTCTTTTCAGAAATGTCCCAAAGTATATAATTATACTTGTTTCCCTAGTAATATATTGTGCAAATCTAAATTTTATCAATATTTTGAGTAAAAAAATGGAAAAAATGAAATGTATATTTTAAAATTCATTGCATAGCTGATAATACCTATACGCTTTTACTATCTAAAGGTAAAGTCTAGATGATTTTTTTTTGCTAAAATGTGTCAATGAAGGAAGTTTAAACAGATAGCTTCAAAGCTGTGGTTTATCTTTAGAGGACTAACCTATTTTTTTGTGCAAGTGTGTTCCTTCTGCACATGTTAAAAAGTCATCCTATGTTGTCTGGGGTGACAAAAGATGGGAATGAGTTTTCTGAGAATTAATCAGCAATACTTTGGGAACATTTAGGTTGTGGTTTCCAATTAACTCTGGAGAGTTTGAGTAATTTAGTACTAGACCTCAGGAAAAGGGATGAAAACCTCGTTATTTCATATGTCAGTGAACAGCAAACCAGCAAATTTGCGTTGAAAATGGATTTTTTTATTTTGAAGCAAAGACCAGCTAGATCTTTCTGCTATAGTTAGGGTGGGAGAATATTTTTGCATGTATTTGTTTCCTTATGTGTAGGATTTTATAAGTTTTAATGACCCTGCTTATGGGAAAATAACAAATAGATAAATTTGTGCTCCAAAATGAAAACCAGGATTCAATAGCATAACCTTCCCTGTACTTTTCTTCTTTTTTCTATACTGAATAATAAAAAAAAAATTACATCAGAAAGGTGTGGACACCAATATCTATTTTCAGAATTAGAAAAACTTCTTTTCTAGGACACAAGACCTGAACAGTAATCCAAATTCTGCCACTTACTTGTATGCAATCTTGGGAAAGTTATTATGGCTCTCTCGGAATCAATCTTGCCAACAGCAAAATGAAACCAATGATAACCTGTACTATATATCTAAAAAGTTTCTTATTTTTATGAAAATCAATTAAATTAGGTGAACTTTTAATGAGCATCCATTACTGTGTTTTGAAATAAAGCCGAGCTAGATGATCTACACTTCTCGTGATAGGAAAAGGCCAAAAAAAATTTTAAAGATAGATTTATCACTTATTAGCCAAATCGAGAACTAATTTCATGAATACAGTGTGATGTTACATTTGAGTTACTGGTAGGGAATCCAGATGAATTATGGGAACCAAAAGTGCAGTAGCTCCTCAGGCTCAGTTGCTGAGTGTGAGGATCCTCCATCCTGTCTCCTTTTGAGACCACAATCTGTGCAAGTAGTTGTATAATTCTCCACATACACATCTTAGGCAAGTATGTTTTCTAAAGCCTTATTTGTTGTGAACAAATCAGCAAGCCAGGTTCCTCAGAAGGCCTGCTCTCAGAATTAACACCTGTGAGGGGAGGAAAGGGCTGGAAGTAAGATAAGGCAAAAGGCGAAGCTGGACTTCAACACAGTTGCAACCACACATCAGTCAACCCCGCCCTGCTCTGCCCTGACCTGCCTTGCCCTGCCCTGCTTTCCACAGTTGTCCTGAGTTGGAACAAAGGGGCCAGGCTTTCACAGCCCACACATTAACGAGTCGTCGGATATATCCTACGTCCAGCAACTTTCCCAGAAACTAGTGCAAAACATATTTTAGTCCTGAGAGGGGTCTGGGCAGCTCAGCACAGCATCCTCTGCCTGACAGTTCTCTAAGTTTGGTCTCCAGTGGCAGTGATTCTCAAACTTTAGCATATATCAGAATTACCTGGCAGTCTTGTTAAAACACAGCTTGCTGTACTTCACACGCAGGCTTTATAATTTAGTAGGTCTAGGGTAGGGCTTGAGAATTTGCATTTCGGATAAGTTCTCAGATCATGCTGAGGCTATTGGCCCATGGGCCATACTTTCAGAATCACTGTACCACATTGCCCATATATACATACTGAGAGTGGTATATGGGGCCCTTATGAATAGAAAGAAAAACTACTGAAGTCACCATACCATTCCATACTCCATCAAATGCTCAGCTATTTTTGTACACAATAAAGCTGGAATAGCCGATAATTAATATTTGTTATATAAAAAAGTATTTAACCAACACAGTAGACTATATAAAGTATTTTTACTATTTCTGATATCTGTTCATTGTTACTTTAAAGTTCAGCCAGATTTTCTATAATTTGAAAATCTAGAGGAATTTACAAAATAATCCATGTTCAAGATCTTTAGTTTTGTTCTGAGCCAGTTTTTTTTTTTTTATTTCTTTAGGATTCTCATAATTCCTGCATTTTTTTTTATCATATAAGCCATTTAAAGCCATATGGTTACAGAAAATTAAAAAGTATTTGATACATTCAGAGCTATTTCGAATGCACAAATATGGCATACAAGTACCTTTGACTCATTTTCTAGTCTAGACTTGGCACAATTAAAATTTAGGAATTCAGTGTACATAGATTGATCTCAGGAGAAAGAATGAAGCCTTAAAACTCCCACACAAGCAGGAAACAACATTCTTCCCTCTGATCGAAGAGGCCTATAAAAGAGCTCATTTGAAGAGATTTTCTGCCGTTGCTACCATTGAACTTTTGTAACGTATTTTCCAAATTAGAAAATATTCAGCCTGATGTTGTCAATATTTCAGACCACGAGGGTATCATTCAGGAAAATGGTGCCTTACTGTCCTGAAAGAGTTACTGTTCTTTCCTAAGGACCTGGAAATCTCATTGTCTCAGTAGAACCCTTTCATCTGATTTATGCGCATCACGTTTTACAAATAACTCTTGCAAAGTTATTTACTGGTTACTTTCTCTGGAAGCAGAGGGTAAGTGGTATTTCAGGTTTAAGGATACAGGAGCTAAGATGCATCAAGTGCAGTTCATCACAAAGATGAAGCTGATAATGAAATACACAGTGTCTAATTCTCTAAGCTTCCTTCACTCTGTCATGAGAGAATTTCATACTGTCCTTTTATTTTGTGTGAAATTGAAGTATGTTTGAAAATATGTCAATGTCTAACCCTGCGTTTATCTTCTGGAATGTGACAGCGTTTTTCTATCCCACATTTGGAGCTGGAGATGCAGTAAGTCTTAACGATTTCTAATGTGCAAGCCAACCTAAAAGTGTTAGCTTGAACTGGACAAAATTGCTGCTTTTGCAACCAGAAACGATCAAATGCCTGCAGTTATACATGTTTCAGCCTGTACATTTCATAACAGCTTGTAATGTGAAGATTCTCAGCGCTCTTACAATGGTTCTGAATTTTTAAATCATACTGAGTTAGAAGGTAAATAAATGAAGAACAATTTAGATCTTTCCCCTGGAATTGATAGTTTGCCTGAAAACTAGATAAGCAGGGAGCCAGCGGTCCAGGTTAGCCCTTGAACTCTCTGAGGTTTAACTGATTTCTCCAACCAGAACACCAACGTATCTTTCAGCTGTGCAGTATTAAAGTTTATTTAGGAGTTGATAAATAGCTTAGGGCAATGCTTCCCTTTTTCCAGTAGCTGTATCCTCATAAACTTATTCTACCCTCCACCAGTTAATGCAGACAGAAGATTTTTATCCAGTATGAGCGCTGAACGAAACGACACTGTAGAAGACTGTATGCTCAGCAGAAACCTCACCCATGATGAATAAACAGCTCTTCCGGGGGCTTTGCTGCCGCTGGCTCGGCAGGAGTTGTTTATTGCCTGGTTTGCACATCCCATGATAAAGTTGCTGCTGAAATAAATTGCAATTTTGCATAATTATTGACAATCACATCTTAACAAGCAGTGTGTATCATATTCAAGTGTTCAATTTTTTAAAATCCATTTTTAGCTTATGTATAATCCCACAAAGTGTTTGTGTAGTAATCGAAGACAAATACAGCATTTAAATAGAGTACTAATTTTCTTATTGCAGACAAAATTTACCTGAATCTTTTTAGATGGGACTGTTACCGCCTAAGGCAATTTTCCCTTCCAACCTATTATTATGTAGATGTTTGTGGAGGGCATATGTGTGTGTATCCACAATATATGCATTATATATATCGTTAGGAAATATGATTTTTTTTTTTAGATTTTTATGTCATAGGATATTTGGTTCACCCTTTCTAAAATAGTGGAGGAAAGAAGAGAATGGGATGTGGGCAGAGGGAATTAACATTTTTGAGAAACTATAATGTGTTAACTATATAATGTGTGAGGCTTTACATACATTATTGTATTTTCATTCTCATCACAACAATATGTATTGTAGATGAGAAACTGAAAAATCAGAGAGGTTAAAGTAACTTGCCCTATCACAAGTTAGGAAGGGGATATTGAGATTCAAAACCATATCTGTCTGGTTTTTAGGCTCCGTTTTTTCTATCACACGTAAAATTTTCATGTGGAAAATATTCTCAATTCTATGACAGATAATAAAATATAAAGCTAATGCAATTTTCAAAACTATTAGAACACAATAGTTAGTGTTATGCAAAATAATATTTTGCACAATGGTTACTACAAAATATGTTATTTTTCTACTTGCTAGTCTTTTTGTTCTCCTTTGACCTCCAATTCCCTTCTCCTTTTTCCTCCAATGTTCAACTTTCTATTGTAGTTTTGCATTTTTGTGACTTTTTTCCTTGCCTATCTAATTCTGGTTTCCTGCCTCAGGTGACATCAAAGATAAGCATGGTGTAGGGATTTCAGGGTTTTACTTATAAAGATTAGCTTAAAATTTTGCAGCATATTAAAATAAACTTTCAAAATTGACTAGTAAAAACTAGAAAGTTAAAAATATATATATTTTGAGAGTTCATATATGAACTTTCAAAAGTCTAAATATATATATATGTGTATATATATATATACACATATATATACTATTCTAGTGGTTGCTTTGAAGAAGAATTTTAGCAACAACTCATCCCTTTGTTGGTATATGCAATTTAGTCCCTTTGTGCTTGCTCTTTTCCTGGGGTTGTCTGGGTGCACCATTCTGATATTTGAGAATTGCATCTGGACATTTGTTCCTTTGCAGAGTGAATGAGCGAGAGGCTGCTTTGGAAGAAACTCATAGATTACTGCAACAGTTCCCCCAGGACCTGGAGAAGTTTCTTGCCTGGCTTACAGAAGCCGAAACCACTGCCAACGTCCTACAGGATGCCACCCATAAAGAAAGGCTCCTAGAAGACTCCAAGGGAGTAAGAGAGCTGATGAAACAATGGCAAGTAAGTCAAGCATTTCCCCTCGAGCACTCTTGTGAATCTAGTTGAACAATTCTCAGCATTTGTCCTCATAATTGATATGCAAGCAACAGAATATTTATAAGTTGTTTTATATGTCCTGATATACTTAAGCATTTGGGTAAGAAAGAGAGAAGCAAAGAGAAAAGGAAATGTAATTTATTGTTTCATTGAACACTCCAATCTTCTAAATAGTACATATTTTTAACCAGGAAAAACTTGTACATAAAACCAGAGCTTTGGTCAAGAAGATACTTTGCTCAGAGAAATAAATTAGGGATTGGTTTATTAAATTGAAAACATTGCCATTTGGGGTATTTATTTAATACTTTACAGGAAAAGCCTTTGTATGAATTGTCTATTTTATTTAGCGTTGCTAACTGAATCAGTTTCCCTTCATTACTTTCAAATACGTTTTGAAATGCTAACCTGGCATTTTGTAGATTTCTTCCTAACATGATATCTGTGAAAATAAAAAGTGAGATGGCTAAATTTGTCATAGTTAACAATAATACAATTCTTAGACAATTGTTTTTCCTAGAGTAGAAACAAAAATTATTGCTATAAAATTTTATATGCATCAACAGTGAAAACAGAAGCTTAAGGTAGTTTCATTTAATGAAGTCTTAGTGAGAATCACATATTGCAGTTTAAGGAAGCTTCTTAAGTTTATTCTCAGGACCTGATATAATTTTCCTAAACTATTATGGTGTTTTGTTATGTATAGTTGAGTTTTCTGGCTTGCTATAAGAACTTTACTATTATCTCAAATAAAATCTAGAGTATTGAAATAAGATCAATTTTTGCAATAATTTTATTTTTTCATATTTTTAAATTATGAAAAACATGATAGTTTATCTTAGGTTGAAAAATAATAACAAAATCAAATCATAATAAGCAAAGCCTTTTCTCCTCCCCTTCTTGTTCTTCTCCTTTTTTTTCTGTTTTTAGATGATATTTGATCTACTTTGCTGCTCTTGTGCATAGAATAGCGGCAATTTATAGCTTCTTGAATTCCTCATTCTTGCCTTATCATTCTTCTCAAACCTTACTTGCTCTTCCACAATGTGTGTTGAGTTAGTTTGATCACATGGAGGTAGTTTGTTTAGAACAATACCTGATTTATCTTTGCAGATATCTTCCATGGCTTGAGAATGTAAAAGCAATACAAAGTTATATATTTTTGGTCACTCTTAGATGACTGGTTAGAAAATGTGTTGCTGTAACTTATTTGACTTATGATATTTCATAAATAAAATTTTCTCCTTGTAAATGACCATAAAGCCACCCTAGAATTTTAATAAATTATGGAGTCACATATTTTCATCAGCAATGGTAAAGAGTAAAACTTCAAGTGTTTTCTTTAGCAGATTATTTTAAAAATAAGGAATAATCCAGTAACTCAAAATCATCTTATAATAAGAATTTAATAAAAAATTTCCCTTAAATTAGTGAACAAGTCTGTTTGAAGGCAAAGATACATCCATCTATCTCTTATACATTCTATATTTATGTCTGCAGTGCTATATAATGAAAATCATTGTATAACTCCTAGGATATTGAGAAATTGCAAGATTATGAATCACTAAAGAAAAAAAATACCATGTTTCCTATCTATATTTACTATGGAAGAATGGAGTACATTTTGTGTTTAGATTTCTGATCCCTCTTTTAAAAACAGTTAGAAGTTATGATGAGGAAACTTTCTTAGCTTATGCTACATTACTCATAAAAATGTATTTATTCTTAAAAACCATATAAAACTCCCTAAGAGTTCCCGAAAACATTAAACATATCATTTTTCCCTTACTATGGTAGGACTAAAATTCCAGTATTATTTTAAAACATAGACAATTTTCTTGTTCTCTATTAGTTAATATTGTGTTTTCTGTAAATTCTAGTTGCCTGAGGTTGAAATTACATTTTACGAATAGGGATGACATTTATAGCCAGCTCTGATTTTTGATTAGATGGCTCAATGATAGTCTTTTGATGAAATATTTAGAGGTATCATGATAAAAACTCTAAACTACTGTAACTATTAATCATTGTTAATGGCACATTTCAACCGATAGAATTAAATCAAGATACTAGGGTTTAAAAGCAACAAAGGAAAATGCCAATCTTGAAAGTAAATAAAACCACATATTTTAGGAGATTACATACAATTTCAGTATTTCAACTAAATGGAAGTGTTTGCTTTTTTCCTTCTAAAGAAGATTTTTTTATCTTTGAACAAAAGGAACTTTCTATAATACATGTGAAAGAAAAATGTGTAACATGCCTTTTCACTTTATTTAGAGAAGCTGGTAGCATTATATTCATTATTTGATTCATGCTGTGCAGTGGTCCCCCTTTATCCACGGTTTCAGTTATCCGTGGTCAACCATGGTTCCAAATCATTAAATGGAAAATTCTAGAAGTAAGCAATTGATAAATTTTAAAATGCAGGCTGTTCTGAGTAGCATGATGAAATCTTGCTCATCCCACCCTGGATGTGAATCAACCTTTTGTATAGCATCTCCACAATATAGATGCTCCCCCACTCATTAGTCACTTAGCAGTCTTCAGTATTGTAGTGCTTGTGTTCAAGTCACCCTTATTTTACTGAACAATGACCACAAAGTGCAGCAGTAGTGATCCTGGCAATTTGGATATGCCAAAGAGAAGCCAGAAAGTGCTTCCTTTAAGTGAAAAGATAAAATACAGTAAGATATTTTGAGAGAGATCGTATTCACATAAATTTTGTTACAGTTTATTGTTATAATTATTTTATTTTATTATTAGTTATTTTGATCTATTACTGTGCCTAACTAATAAACTTTTTCATAGGTATGTGTATATAGGAAAACATGTACTATATATAGGGTTTAGTACTATCTATGATTTCAGGCATACACTGAGGGTCTTGGAACATATCCCCCATGGATAAGGGGAGACTACTGTATAGCAAGAGTAGTTCTTACATATTAAAAAAAGAAACTCCAAATGACTAGCCAGAACAATAGCTGTCCCAACAAATCCTGATATATCTGTTCACCCAAAAGCAGTGATGTTTTACTTTATACAAATGCTACTAAATAGAGACAGGGAGTGAAAACCTTCACAAAATATGTTTTTCTCTATAACTGTCAGTCAGTTGTACTATATATGGTGACTCCAGCTCTTGGTAGACTACCTATCACTGTTGTATATCATATCCACTTCATATTTAATTCTCTCAGCAATAATTACAATGCATGGGTTCTATAAGCATCAGTGTATTATGAAGCATACGCTTCCTTAATGGAATTAACCTGGTTAATTCCACTCTGAAAGCCATTAAAATTCCTTCCTTATATTAGAAAAAAATGTTATTTACTTTCTTTACTAAAAGCAAGGACATTATAGTTGTACTTTAGGATGATGAGATTTTTTTTGTGTAACTATTGTTATTTCTGAAAGTCTAACTGGAATTGTAAAGCCAATTTTTTATAGAGTATCGTATAGAGCCTTGAGAAGTGACAGTCTGAGTTTTTTTAATTGAAAATATATCCTTAAAATGAAGAACTATATTCATATTGAATCAGATTCTTCTTGTGTCCCAAATATTTCCTGCTCCGGGCCTCAGAGAATTGTTAAAGATGGTCGTGGTTCCAAGTTCTAACATAACATCAGGGATAACTAACCAAAAATGGGAAGACTCTGCATTTTTGCTAATATTTCACAAGAATTTCACCAACTTAACTGGTTTGCTAAGCACTCCTTAGAGATAAATATAATACCAGCTTGTAAAGAAGGTTTGTGAGTGTGGGTATGTGGAGAGAGAGAGATGGTCACAAAGGTGGCATAATTAGGAATTTTTTCCTCAGCAAGAGAAATGACAGAGCAATTAATATTTGAGGTTCCTTTATCTGTGATCTGGGTCATGTCTCAGGCCATATCTCTCAACTCACTCCCTTCTCTAATTTCATTTGTTTACCCACATCTCTTCCCAACTCTCTTCCTCATTATAAAAATTCTCTTCTCTTAAGCAAAACATCCAAAGATACAAGTTTGATATATTTCGAATCGTATATCAGGTACAATAAATTGATTAAGATATCTTAGATTTCTAATACATTATTGAAATTAAGGAAGTAGCTTCTTCACTGTTTCTTACAAAAATCTTGGCCTACTAGATAATTCCAAAGGAAGAAAGAAGAATGCAATCTTAGTAACACAATTAGTATCCTGAACAAATTGAGCTGTCATATTTCTTGGGACATGTGAGAATAAAGAGGTAATCTGAGGACGCTTAATTCCAAGAAAAGGAAACCCTTTGTGTATTCCTTTCTGTTGCTATAATTTGAATTGAGTTTTATATGTATTTTTTAGTCTTTCTTCTTTGGTGTCTAAAGAGTATGAAAGTTAATATTTCTATTTTGCCTGATGATGACTGCCTACTGCTTTAAATATGTAAAACTTTGTTGTGTGTTATTTCTCTAAGAACTTTAATTCATCAAACCTTTATTAAGCATCAGTTAAGTGCCTAGCATGGTGTTAGGACTAGCAATAGAAACATGATTAGAGAAATGTTCTTCAAACACAGTTCAAGCAAAGCACTTAGGTTGTGTTATCAATTTAATTAGCATCAATCCACATTTTTTAAAATAAAAAGGAATAAAATTAAGAGAACAGAATAGAAAATAACAGAGTCCATCACTCTTAAGTAAGAGTCAGTATTGTCTTGTGAAACTTTGGTTTCAGCTGTGTGTGTGTGTGTGTGTGTGTGTGTGTGTGTGTGTGTGTGTGTGCGCCAGATCACTATGTAACATATATTCAAAAGCTTCTGTATTGGAATATGAGGTGGAGATGGAAATGCTAAGACAAAATTATAGTAGTGTGATGAGTATCATAGTAGACTAGATAGGACCTAGTAAAAATAGAAAACAATTGAAGTAAGCCTACCAAATAGGCCAAGAAACTCACCTAGAACAGTGTTTTTCAGTCTTCTTTATATACTG